GCAGGTATCAGAGCCATTGATGGGTGGCTCTAGTACGTGGTACGTTTCATTATGGTAGGGATATAAGCTCCGTCCGTCCGAGATGATGGGGCAGATTTTATGAAAAACCGAGATAGGGAATCCAAATTTGGTATGGGTTTTCAGGACATGATGTTTTCATCCCTTGATGAAGTTCGAAAACGGAAACGTGTTACAATTTGTTACAGAGTTATGACCCTTGTTATGCGTTTCTTGACTTAGTGCACGGTATCCCCAATGGGAACAGATTTTCTCAGAAACCGTTATATAAAGGGAAACCTAATGTGGTATGTATTTTCAGGACACAAATGCCTTGATGGAGTTCAAAATCGGAAACCGTGTTATGATGCTTTACAGAGAACACTGGCGGGGGATACTGATGACCATGTCTTCTTGTTAATAATAATAATAATAATAATAAATGTGAACTTATAATGCGCCTTTTCAATGCACAAGGCCCATGCTCAAAGCGCTAACAAAGTGGGTGGATAGTATACATATATACAATGAGGGACTAGTAGCAAGTCATAATGCAGTGAAAACAGATGAGTCTTGAGAAGTCGTTTGAAGGAATTAAAGTCAACTGCTGATTTAATGGTGATAGGAAGAGAGTTCCAGAGTAGAGGGGCAGAGCAGGCAAAAGATTTCCTTCCAAAAGTTTGCAGTTTGAACCGAGGCACAGAGAGTAGGTTGAGATTCTGAGAACGGAGCTGTCTTTCTGGAGTGTATGGGGTAAGAAGTTCTTTCAAGTATTCTGGGCCTTTGCCATTGAGGCATTTGTAGACAAAACACAATATTTTAAAGTCAATTCTTGATTTAACAGGCAGCCAGTGACATTAATGTACATTGTTGACATTAATGTCAAGACACTTTGCTTACACGACCCTCTCTAGAAATATGTCGTGCATAATTATAATCACCATCATAAAAAAAATCAGAAAATGTGTTCGAAAATGTAGAATGAAATAATTAATGTATGGACTGCTCTGAATGTATTCCATTTACATATTGGAAAATCTTTTCAAACCAAAACAAAATTGTTTAAATTCGAAAACTTACAACGCTGTTTGAGAATTCAGAAAGTTATGAATTGCCTTAGGAATTCGTGAAAATAATGAAAAGCATTTTCACTCTCTGAACCAAAATCGTCGTATGGTTGGGTGTCACAAAGATTTACATGACACAGATCAGATTTCAGTGTGCTACCATGAACATCGTATCCGAGCATGAAGAGTGTTTACTTTTCTGTCACCCTGCAGATATAGCTTTGCTACCATTACAGGAGCCTAAGGGTTTTTTGTTTTTTTTAATAGAATAATACTACCCATCAAAAGTTTAGACCCACTTAAAGCACTCACTATATGTTATGTATATATACTGAACCACAAAAGAAACGTCGTTTTTCAAAACCAAATGCAAAATTTTGTTCTCACAAGGTTGTGTTTTTATTACGATTGTACCGTTTTGTTAATGTTTTTCAATCAAAATTGACAGTTATTACCAACATCAGTGTGTTTTCTGATGAAAAAGCATATCGACCAAACGCACCGAAAAAGTCAGACATGGTAAAAGGTTCCGTATGACATTCGTGAAAATGAAAATGCACGTGCATGTCGTGACATCCCTACTAATGAAAGCGAGTCCTAAACTCGCCTGAAATCATTATGCTTTGACACAACCACCATGCCACGTCTTACGAGAGATCAGAGGAAACAGGTCTTTGGACGATTGCAAGTTGTCCAGACTGCACGGAGGGAAGCCAATCATTTTAATGTTCATGTTAGGACAATCTACCGACTGCAGGAGTGGTATCAGGTGACTTACAGCATCCAAGACCGTCCACGCAGTGAGCGACCTTCAGTAACATCACAACGTCAATACGGACAGATTGTGCGCAACCATCTGCAGGATCGCTTCCCCAGGGCGACGGATACAGCACGACAGACCATTGGGACTCACTACAGACCCATCAGTGCCGATACAGTGCGACGACGTTTGCGCGGAAGAAACCTCTGCTGTCACAGGCCCTATCGTAGTCCTGTCCTTACCGCTCACCACCGCCAAAACCGACTGCAATGGGCAACTCAACATCGAAATTGGTGTTATCGACAATGGAGAAGTGTGCTTTTATCTCATGAAAGCCGATATTGTGTTTCGACAGTGGCAGAGTGAGAGTATGGTGAAGGCGTTGGGAACCGTTTTCCAATGAGTGTATTGTTGAAAGAGACTCGTGGGGTGGTCCAAGCATCATGGTGTGGGGTGCAATTGGTCTGAACCAGATAGCTGGCACTGTGGTGTTCCAGAACTCGGTCCAGGATGAGGAAATGAGGTGACAGCAGCTCGATATATTGACCAGGTCATAAGACCCCACGTTGTACCACATTTTGGACGTTACAGAAATCACATCTTCCAGCAAGACAATGCTCGTTCCCACACTGCCAGAGTAACGTTGCACTTCCTAAGACAACATGGCATTCAAACCCTACAATAGCCTGCACTCAGTCCGGATTTAAGTCCAATAGAACACCTTTGGGGCGAGATTCAAAGAAGACTGAATGACCTCCAACCAAGGCCGACAACTGCGGCTGGACTCCATCAGACATTTCGCAGAGTATGCCTGATACCCAAGGCCTTCATCAACCGGCTAATTCATTCCATGTGCAGACGATACAACGCTTTCATCGATGCCCATAGAGGCCACACACAATACTGACTTTGGGGTATCTTAATGGTACCTTTTATGGTGATTTTGTTTGTGTGAACTCTAAATGTGATTCCCGAAAATGTGTTAACCATATGTGTCAAGTTTGAACTCCATCCTTTGTTTTGATTGTTAATTAGAGTGAATTAAACTGTATGCAAACTCAGAATGGAACCCAGGAAATGGTCTCAAAAACGCAACCTAATCTCGGAGATCGTGGTACGGTGTTCTCCATGCTGCACGTGCTGTTGACAAGGACCAGCGCTATAAAATGCACCCGCAAACCTGGTTGAAACATTCACATTACAACGTCAGCAGGATGCCGCGACTCACGACAGCTGAGAGGTACCAAGCGCTATAGGAAGACTTGAAACTGGCCACACTGCACAAGCCGTTGCCAATCACTTCCAGGTCAACATTCGGACCATCTTCAGGCTGAAGCAACGTTTCCGGGCAACCAACACCACAAATGATCGCCCCCGTACTGGCAGACCAAGGGTGACCACAAGACTATGTTGCCATGTTGTGCGACAGCATGTACAGAATCCCTTCATGCAGGCATCCGAAACAGCACGCCAGACAGTGGGAACACACGGAAGACCAACCAGTACTGTTACAGTACGCCGACGTCTTTACAGCGGGAACCTCCATTGCCGTAGACCTTACCGTGGACCTATCCTCATCCCCCGTCATCGGCATGAACGTCTACAGTTTGCTCTACAACACCAAAACTGGCGATACAGGCAATGGAGAACTGTTCTGTTAACAGATGAGAGTCGGTACTGTGTATCAACTGCAGATGGCAGAACAAGAATATGGCGACGACGCGGCCAGCGTTACTCGGACCAATGTGTTATGGAAAGAGACTCATGGGGAGGTGCAAGCATCTTGGTGTGGGGTTGAATAAGCCTGAACCAGAGAGTGGGTCCTGTGGTGTTCCAGAACCTTGGTCCAGGGAGCAAACCGAAACACGAGTCTCATTAACCTATTCAGACAATGACCTAATTTTCTGCTGATCCGAATTTTCTCGTGTGGAAGTGAAAGGAGACACTCCAAACAACTATGGTTACACTGAATTCCAATTCCTTGTTTCATAAGAAAATGGTATTTACAAATAAATTTTAATTTTAAACTTTAATAACATCGTATTTCTATATTTTATGGCGAGGTTTGGCAGCATGACCTTAACTAAGATGTTACAGACTGCCCCAGTTTGTTGAGCTCGTAAAATGATTCACGCATCTAGCTCACTGGTTACACCTGTTACGTGTTTTATGCGCTAATTCAGTTCAGTGTAGTTCACGCACAATGTGATTGATATAATATTAAGTCCGTACCAGACCGCCAAACTTTTCTAGATGCAAAGCCTCGTTTTGAGATTTCCAGGTTTGTTTGTCAGAGGTCGCTGCACGACATGTTTGCAAGGATTATAAGGAGCGTAGTGTTGTGATATACAAGTGCTTAGATGTATCAAATAATACTGATTGATATTTATGCATCCAGTTAAATGAATTGGTCTCAAAATTCTGTACTGGTTGACCTTGGTCAACAGGAAACGAGACTGTTGTGTAATCAATGTTTCGACTTGAGGAGGCGGCATCACAGCAGTGCGCTACATCGACCAAGCTCTCATACCCCACGTCATACCACATTTCGCACGTCACCGGAACAACATTTTCCAGCATGATAACGCCCGGGCCCGTACGTATACTGCCAGAGCTACACGGGACTTCCTACAGCAGAACAGTGTCAATATTATGCAGTGGCGAGCCCTTAGTCCCGATTTAAATCCAACTGAACATCTTTGAGATGAAATTCAGAGGAGACTGAATAATGTCATACCAACGCCGAACGTAGCCGATTATTGCGCCAGGCCTTTCTCAGAGTGTGGTTCCAGGTGCCAATGGCCTTCATCAATGGTTGCTGCACAACCTGTGAAGGTCCGGGTTAGAATATTGAGCTTCAGTAACCCATGCTTGTCGTAAGAGTCGACTAACGGGATCGGGTGGGTTGACACATGTCATCGGTTTCCAATTGCGCAGATCAATGCTCATGCTGTTGATCACTGGATTGTCTGGTGCAGACTCGATTATTTACAGACCGCCGCTATATAGCTGGAATATTGCTGAGTGCGGCGTAAAACTAAACTCACTCACTCATTGGTGCTCTCCATGCACCTGTATGTGTCCCGTATTTCAGTTGGAAGAGTGTTCCACAAATAACCAATGTCACACACGATATATCTGTTTTAGGGTATTAGTTCTTACTTTTGGAATTGCAGAATTAGCTGAATATCTCCGATGACAGACAAGGTAGGAAGAAATAAATCTTGTAAGTACACAGATGCCATTTTGTTAACAGTTTTGTGAAATGTTTCACGTGTAATTGTCACGATTCATGTAAACAAATATTTATGATACATCTCCATCACAGAAAGCAAATGAAATTGAAAGAAAGTGAAGATCCAGAGTAATGGTATTATCCTCTTTGCATAAGAGCGGCAAGAAAAAATATCACCTTTTGAGTGATGGAGAACATTTGGTGACCTGTTGTTGATGCGATGCTGGCGTGCGCTGACGAGCTGCTGGCGTGTGCTGACGTACTGCTGACGTTCAGTTGACGTACTGCTGACGTACTGCTGACGAGTCCTGACACGTTATCGACTTGCTGTGTTAATCTGGGCTGCTGTTGCAAAAAGAAAACACTCCTGTGAATATTTTTGCCGACACGCTGAGCATCGCTACTTCATTGTGGGCGGCTTAAATACAAGGTAATGCTTAAAGGGCACAGGCCTGGATGGCCAAGTTAACAGTTTTGGCAAGTTTGATTCAAATCATCTGAAACGAAACTTTATGTGGGGACAAACCGTTCTTGGTTTTATGACCGTTTTAACAAACCTTAGAAGATAGGGAGTGGATATTACTGTTTATTTTTCTATTTTTGTAGGCTACGGATAAAGACTAAATCAAGGCCTTTTTGTCCACAACCTCTTGTACACTGAAGTGTGAAGAGGCGGCCGTTGGAACTATGGTGATCTAGTCTCGCTGCCTTTGAGAATCTGACACACTATGAATAGAAGTCACTCATTTTGACGACTGCACCTAAACCAAAACCTGGCCACCATATAGTCCTAATTGAACACCTGTATTGACCTGCAAGGTGCGTTCGATTAGAGAACACGAGTAACACGTCTTGCAAACTCAAAAGATGTTTATTGTATGAAAGGCCTCCGGCCCATATACATGAGAGTTACAGTGATAAAGGAATATTCTGGATATTTACATATATATTTAAGGGTATACAATTCGCTTTATAAGAAGATCTCTTTTAGCTAATGCATATTTTATATATAAGGACAATTGAGCAAGAATATTTTCATTATTGGTTTGTAACAAAGATATATATGCATAATGGGGCTGCTTTGCAAGAAGATGGTGCGGTATATATTTCTGTCTTAATTCGTGATAACAAGGACATATCAGGGTAAAATGAATTTCATTTTCTATTCCAACGTTACATAAAGGACAATATCGACGTTCTTTCTGGACAGAGGTTTTTCTACCCTCATTAATCATTAAAGATAACAAACCTAAACGATACTTTACGAACATTGTTCTTAAACTATATGTTGTAATTATTGATAAGTATTTTTCTGGCTGGAGTAACGTTTTAAAGGTCCTGTAATATTCATATCGTGAGCTTGAATCTAGGGTGGATTTCCATTCTTGATTGAACATATCTATTGATCTAACACGAAATTCATTAATAAACCAGTTCACATCGCCAATTGTTTGGCTCAACCATACGAAACCGAAACCGTGAGAAAATAATAAATTTCTGATATCAGTTACCCAAGTGTGTTTTCCCAAATTATCCAGATTTAAAAGCATATTGTAAGCTAATTTTGGCAGACGTTGTTCGTGCATATTTAGAACCTTAAACCAATATTTTAAACATCTTATGTGAGAATTGATATACAAAGGAAATCTGCCACATTCGCCATATACCATGCAGTTAGGTGTCTTTGAGCTTACATTGAGGTACTTTTTACAGGCTAAAAGATGCACTCTCTCAATACAATCAAAACGCTGAAAACCCCATATTTCAGATCCATATAATAAAATGGGTTGAATCTGAGAATTAAATATCTTAAAAAACACATTGGGTGACATAGTTCCAACTTTGTATAAAACCGATAAAACTTGTATTAAAGCCTTTTTCCACGTAAAGTTAAGTTATGTGCACATTTATTCAAGTTCATTCTGTTTGAAAACAAAAACCCTAAGTAAGAATATTGATCGGATACATTAATCAACTGACCATCAAAAAACCAGCGTTCGTTTGTGGCCACGGGACCGCCCCTCCTAAATATCACAATTTCTGTTTTGCTTAAATTTACTGTTAACTTCCATTCTTTAGTATAACTTTCTAAGATATTTAATTGATTTTGTAAACCGACCACAGTATCCGAAACTAAAATAACGTCGTCAGCAAAAAGGAGCATTAGGACTTCTACAAGATCTGGGTACATTTGGATTCCATGTTTTCCAGCTAAATTGATATCGTGATATAATTCACTAATGAAGAAGGAAAATAGGAGTGGACTTAAGCAGCAACCTTGTCTTAAACCAAGTGGGCAATCGAAAAAATCTGTAACCCCGTCTTTGCAACGCACACAAGATCGAACGTTAGAATACATTGATTTGAGAATGCTAACCATTTTCCCTCGTAAACCTGCCTTGCGTAAACACTGCCATAATTTAAAACGATTGACTGAGTCGAATGCCTTTTTAAAATCTACAAATGCTATGTACAACTTATGTTTTCTTTTTGATAGTGATTTTTGGACTAGTGCATACAGAGTAAATATATGATCAGTGGTAGAATATCCCTTTCTAAATCCTGCCTGGGATTCAGGAATCTTATCACGCATATTCGCCCAGTTTGATAGTCTATTGTTCAATATCAACGTAAATACTTTCCCCAAGATACTCATTAATGATATACCCCGATAATTATCTGGATCGTTTCTGTCGCCCTTTTTATGAAGTGGATTTATTATAGAGCTTGACCAACTGCAGGGAAAATTCCATGTTCATACAGCTTATTGAAACATTTCGTAAGGAACGGCATAATTTCGAATTTAGAACACTTTATCATTTCTATTATGATAAAGTCAGGTCCAGCAGCCTTCCCATTTTTAAGATGATTTATCGCTTCTAATATTTCCTGTTCGGCAATAGGACTGTCTAGTACAAGTTGATCTACTTCTGTATAATAGTCATTATTGGAATCTACAGTGTTAATTTCATCGTCGAATGTTGAGTCTAATATCTCACCGTTTGAATATACATCTTTGAAATGATTTAACCATTGAGTTTTAGTTATGCTATTTCCGGACGTATTTCTTTTTTGTAAATGGCGGATACTTTTCCAAAATGCAGACGGGCTGTTTATAGATCTTTCTAACCTTTCTTGTCTGCGGATTCTCATATCAAACTTATACTTTCGACAACAAGCTTTATACTTATTTCTACTTTCGCAATATTTCCGTCTATCATAATTACTACGAGTCACTCTGAATCTACGAAGATGTTTACGAGCATTGCGTCGCGCATTTCTACAATCTGTATTTAGAGTATTTGTTCGGTCTTTGCGATTGACATTTTTGAGCATACAATTAGCTGAAGTCGATAACAGTTCCACAAAGTCATTTATGGCTCCATTTACATCTGTATCAATTGTTTCGAGTAGAATTCCTCCAAACGAAGTTATGTTTTCTTTCACGTTCGATAAGAAAGTGCTTGCAAAATTATCATTCCACACAAGTCGTTTGATATTTGTGGACCCGTTATCATCGTTCATGCTATGATTAATATTGGGGAACTTACAAGTTAATTCAAGAGGTAAATGGTCAGATTCATGCCGATCCCCAATATTCAACCTGCCTATGTACTGGAAGAAATCGGGCGAGCATATAAAATAATCATTGACACTAGCACCTTGATTCGCACAAAATGTATATTCCCCTTGTAAATCGCCATATACTCTCCCATTAACGATAAACAATTGCAATGCGTAACATATATCTAAAAGTTTCTGGCCAAATTTGTTTGTAGATGTATCGTGAGACTTCCGATTTTCAACACTAACATCATCATCTTCATGAAATGGAAAGTATCTATGTAATATATCATCACGTGAGGATGTTGAAGGGTTATTTGCATTACCAGTTCGGGAATTTAGATCACCACACAAAACAGTATGTGAATCACTAAGTTCCGATTGTATATCTAATAAAAATTCCTCAAGTTTATCTAGACTACAACTGGTATCAACATGGTTGTAATAAGGAGAGCCTTCAGGTGGTATATATGTGCATATCAAATTAACATGCTTATCAATAGCAAATAAAGCTTTTGACATGTGTATACATATCAAATTGTCGATATCTGTAGTTATGAACTTACAAAACTTGCTAATAGACTGATGTATACACACGCACACACCTCCCGAAAGTCTGCCATAATCAGACAGTTTCACAGCTGAACTTGAAAAAACTTGGTAATCAACCAACCAATTCATGTCGTAATTAAAGTCAACAAAGGTTTCGAGAAGGCAAATAATATTAAATTTTCTAATATAATCTATAAAGTCATCATCTCCTGATTTATTACGAAGTCCGTTTATATTCCAACACAGAAATGAGAGAGTTTCGTTGCACAAGCTGTGTTCAGTGGGTGTAATGCAGGTGTCATTGTCAGCAGTACCCTGTGAGATACGATCCGGGCCTCGGCCCAAATCCTACGGCAGGGTTGATTTCGGCCTCGCTTGCCGTTTCCTCGTTTGGGTGAGAACTCTGGTATCCCGTACGTTGGTGGATCCAGTAGCTCCACTGGCTGAGCGAGGTACTGTCACCAGCTGGCCATTCTTGAAATAGCCGAACATGTTTGTCCCCTTCAAAGCCTGAAGTTGCTGACGTTGACGTGACGTTAGGTCACTGGAGATACCAAGTCCCGCTGCCTTGAATGCCGGTCTTGCTTTCAGGGAGCGCACCTTATCGTCAGACATGTGCAGCTTTACAATCATTGGTCGAGGTCTGGTAGCATTAACCCGCCTAACGCCAAGCCTATGTGCGCGGATAACGTCAGACGTTCCCCACGTCTTGAAAGTAGCATGCTCGTTAAGAGTGGATAACGATGTCTGCTTGCATGTCATAGACTTCTCCTCGCCGTCAGCCTCGGGTATACCATGAATTATGATATTGTCACGTCTGCTGTAAGATTCCAGCCGGTCTAGTTCGGTATCTACGTTGGACATGTTTTCGATCACAGAATCGACTTTCTCCGCGAGGGCATCAATGTCGTCGTTCACAATATCATGATTTTGTTTGATGATATCTATATCTCCACGAATATCTGTTACAGAGTGTTCGAGGTGTTCACACTTGGAACTAATAGCACTAATGTCTTTCCGTAGAGAGGAGATCTGTGAACTTAGGTCATTTTTGGCGGTAGCTAATTCTGCTTTCATGTTTTCAATTGCGCTGAGTAAGTTATCTTGAACTTGTTCAAGTGTGACGGGTCCCGGGTTTGTCTCAACATCATTAGAGCACAACAGTCGCTGAATGACGACTCGCACGGGAAGCGTGTCGTCCCCAAGTAGACACAAAGCTCGTGCATGGGCAGCATGAGAGGCATGGTATATAGACAGGATTAGGTCACAGTTCGAGTTGGTGACGTCACACGTAACACAATAAAATGTTGTTTCTTTCGGCACAAAATTATCAAATGAGTAATTGAGAATAGCCTGCTGGTTACATATGATGAGGGCAGAGAGTGACAAATGCACTGTGAAGATCAGAGCGCATATTATCAAACGATAAGGCATGGTATCAATATCATGATCGCGGCGTTGAGTGAATGGCGTGTATCTGTCAACATGGCTCACCTGCCGTGTACCGGGTGGGTGGTGAAAAGTTCCTATTCTCGCTCTGTATGTGGCCAGATCCTCCATAATTTGAACTCAAACGGACACTGGTGTGTAGACCTTTGATCACACACATTCGCCACTTCAAGTTGCCTTTTGTGTTGTAGATTTTCAGAGAAAAATACAGAGCCTTCCTAAACGTGTCATCAACCCCCAAGGGCGCGTTTGTTCTCCATCAGCTTCGATGACAGCACGTGGAGCCGTACAACCTATGTAAACAAAGGATCGCTACGCAAATCGAAATAGTGTTACATGTTTTTGGATATTTTCTCAGTGAAACTAAACCATTCTATTAAAGATGTTAAGTTGGATTCGTAGACTCGTCAAAAGTAAAAGAGTAAAAGAAATCTGTACATTATATTGAATGGACATTGCAAGGTGTGACGAATCGTCACATTTTTCTGGCCTGTGGCAGAGATGGCAGAGTGGTTTAGAAGTAACGTTTGGAGAGACGAGAAGCCATATTTTTGGTTGAAATGGAGGTGGAGATCTGTATCCTCATAATCAAACCTTGGCAAAATGTACGAAACTTCAGTCCACATTCGTCAAAACGGTCGTGTGAAAGACATTACTGTGAGAACTGTATTTGTCGCGTTGGTGCACGTGAAATATGTCCCCTGGTCCTTTCACACGTGCACCTCGCTCTTTGGCGACACGGTTTTGAATACATCATCCGGGGCAAGTATACATTCATATAGGACCAACTCGAGCACATGTATCACTCACTCAAATAGTACTGGTATTTTCTGTCCATTCACCTCTTTTAAGGGAAATCTACAAGCACATTCACTGCGTAAAATAACCAAGTGAATAACACAGACATTTCAATTCATAAACATCAAATAAATGTATGAATGCTGTTAGTAGATATGTGATTATTATTTTCACAGGACCTACACTTGGCTGACGTCTACATTCGTTAGCCGGGCACGAACGTTACGGGTTCGAATCCCGCTGACGACGCGCATTTCCACAACTAGACTACAAAATTGAAAAAAAAGAAGTTTCTTTGCAGGCATATGTTACAAAACACTTCATAAAGTTCTGACAAGGTGACCATACTTTATTTATCGTATAATGTACATATAAACACTTCATACAGTTCCGACAAGGTGACCATACTTTATTTATCGTATAATGTACATATAAACAATTAATCAAGTAACTTAGTAAGTCTGACCCAATCTCATTACATACCCATGTTCCAGGTGGTTGATATATGAGAGTGTCAGAACCAACAAGACGTCAAGACAGCTGACAAGAAAATACTTTAAACACCTGCCAATGATCGTGCTCGCCTCGACCGGACTACTCCGGAAACACCCGACTCACTCAGTCACGGTCTTCGTCTCAAGTTGAAATACATACCTTGGCACGCGATAGACACTCAGCGTCAAGAGCCTTGTATATGATCAAATTCCCAGTGATGTTTTGAGGAGGCGTTCACAGGACACATGAGCCTGGCCAGGTGTTCCCTTACATATCTCCTCATGTGCGTTCCAGACAACGAAGTTAATTCATCGATAAAGGGAATTATGGATTACAAGTGGATTGTGACCCTCTGATACTCGGGGCACAGGTGGGCCAGTGGTCTATGGCGCCAGAGAAGTGGGTACCTAAGGCGTGCAATCCGAGATGAAACTAGTAGTCGCCCTGAGTATGATTCTTGATTCTTATCCAATATAACGGACTCTTGCTCACAGTTTACCTGACAGGTAAACGTGTAACACCTGCAAATCTTTGGGCTTCATGTGTACAAGATTTGATATAACTGTTCTGTTCAAATGTCGACGTGACCTTATCTTTCTTTAAAGTACCCCTTTACCCTTTGCCAATTGTATTGATTGACTAAGAGGCTCCTTCGAACAGGTTCAAGGCACTGTGTAGTTGAAGCGTACACAAGCGTTGTTGGAGTGGAGATCACAAAGGAGAGAGAGCCTACCCTCTTCACGACGTGAGTGATGCCTTCACGCTGCATACTATTACCATTCTATGGTTATGTCGGCCTCAATATTTGCGTTCACACTCAATATAATTGCAAATTTTCGGGACCCGGGAAATTCCGTTTGGAATTGGTCTTCAGCAACCCATGTTTGTCGTGAGACGCGACTAACTGGATCGGTGATCAGGCCTGCTGACTAGGTTGACACATGCCATCGTATGCATAGATCGTTGTGATGATGTTGATCACTGGATTGTCTGGTCCAGACGAGATTATTTACAGACGCCATATAGATGGAATATATAGAGTGCGGCGTTAACCAACCAACCAACCAACCACCATTTCGGCTATATCGATGCCACCTTAGGCTAATGCTTCGTCTCTGAAAAAAATTAATTTCAATAGAAATAATTAGTTCCTTTTAAACTGAAAGCTCCAGTCAGATTGGAGACTCTGAGTAATTTTAGAATTACTCAAGTCAAAACATTGACTACAGAACAGGCACGTTTCCTGCTGACTGGGGTCCGTCCTGTTGTACAATATAGTACAATAACCTGTCCAGAATTTTGAGACCAACTCATTCAGCTATATATATAAATATTAATCAGTATTATTTGATACATCTAATCACTTGTATATTGCAACACTACGCTCCTTCTAACCCTGGCAAACACGTCGTGCAGCATGCTCTGTCGTATGTAGCGCGCTCTGACAGACGGAAATCTCAAAACGAGGCTCGGCCGCTAGAAAGGTTCGGCTGTCTTGTATGGCCTTGATATCAAATCAATCACATTGTACGTTACAAAAATACACGTAATAAAAAGAACACATAACAGGTGTAACCAGTGAGCCAGATGAATTGTGAATCAGTTTACGACCTCATCAAACAGGGGCAGTCTATGACGCCTCAGTTAAAGCCATGCTGCCTAAACCTCGCCATAAAATAAAGTTTAAAATTAAAATTTAATTTGTAAATACCATTTTCTTAGGAAACAAGGAACTGGAATTTCGTGTAACCATAGTTGTTTGTAGTGTTTCTTTTCACTTTCACTCGAGAAAAAATCGGATCGGCTGAAAAGTAGGACTTTGGATCATGAGACTCATGTTTCAGTTTGCAGAAAGGGGTGGGTGGAAGGGAAAATAATGCGGTTCGGGGAAAATGGGGGACAGACAGTTTCATATTGTATAGCATTTCATTACGCCAAAATCGACGTGACACAATTCAAAACCGAAAATATTGTAATTCGAAGAACACTAAAAGCGGCTTTGTTATAGCAAGAGTTTGCATTTCAGGAACACGTTTGAAAGAATTATGTTGACAAGATCAGGTCATACCACCAAACTACACGAAAAATCCACAGAACAGCGTGTTTACGTAAGAAAAACGCCCCGTAGACAATACGGAGAGTTTTGCAGTGTATACAATCTTACAGCATGTGCCGCACAAACGCCTTGTTAGTGTGGAAGATATTTCAATATATGTAGATATATCGCGGGAAAACCTACCGGTTATCAGCCGGGGATTGTTCATTGAGAATGTTTTGTTTGTTCGTGCTTGGGTTTAGATAGGAACTGCACACGATAAATACACGGGGCATATATCTGTCAACGGTTTATCGACTACCACATATATCACCTCTTGCCAAGATAGCGAGTGAAAACAAACAGATGTTAGAAGATCTCTCTGTGTACATGTGTCGAAAACATATATACCCCACACGCTGTCGCCACTTCATTCATAAACAGATAAACTTGGAAACAGTACACACATTTATAGGAATTGCCCTTCAAACAAACAGTTTTGGCATGTATGGGAAGCGTCAAAATGTGCCCATGAGATATAAGAGGTTTCAAAAAAGAAACGTTATTGTACACATGCAATGATTTGCATAAATATAATGACTGCCAAACTTGTTGAATAAGTTAGTTGCAATTTCGATGTACGCTTAGGAGTGCCGGATTCGAAGAATGTGGGTCGCAGTCCCAGACTATGGGCCAAGGTTTGTCATTAAGGTACCAATGCTTATTCTTCTCATCCAATGCCTAACGCTCAAGACATACAGTGGTCATACACCTCTTACAATCTCCTACTCCCAACTCTTAGGTTAGATATACTCTTCATAAAAAGTAGGGCAACTTGTTTCATTTATTTATTTCAGTATTACATATTACGTGCAAATATTTACAAATTGGTGCTGCATTTCCTAAATTTTAAAGATATGACGATCGTAGACTGACTGACGATTGATGTATCGGAGTCACTCAATGTTGAAACAATAATAATGAATGTTTTGAGAGGGCATCACCACTTACACTTCCTTATGACCAAAGTTGTTTGTACAGTAATCGCTCTTGGTGTATGACGTGAAATTTGCATGTGTACGATTTTCATTTTCGAACAAAAAACCCGGCTAGAAACAAACACTAACAACTGTGTGATGCAAGATGATTGCCAAAATTAATGGTCTACAGTGATTTATTGACCTTCTTGAAAAACGTCAAAATCAAGTATGACACCCCATACACGTGCACGGGGCTACTGTTTAGGGGTGGTGATAAAAGAAATAATGGTGCGTTCATAAGATGTCTGTCTTTGAAAAGTTTGTAAAGGCTTATACTTCCTATTCAAATTGACCCGTGAAGATCCGGGGTAGAATAGGTCTTCAGCAACCCATGTGCTTGCCATAAAAGGGCGACTATCTTATCGTAAGAGGCGACTAACGGGATCGGCTGGTCAGTTTCGCTGACTTGGTTGACACATGTCATCGGTTCCCAATTGCGCAGATCGATGCTCATGCTGTTGATCACTGGATTGTCTGGTCCAGACTCGATTATTTACAGACCGCCGCCATATAGCTGGAATATTGCTGAGTGCGGCGTAAAACTAAACTCACTCACTCACTCCTATTCAAATTGATAGTTCAGGTTCCCCTACTTATTTTTGAAGAGCATGTTTCAGTTATCCTGTTACATAGGTGATATGTTGTCGGTCCTGCTGAACACTGAAGCACACGTTGTTTGTTTGTTCCAAATAAGCCTGTTCACGAAGCAGTGAACCGGTACCCGGTAGGATGGGATGTTCAGGTGACGCCTCACAGAACATATGCTGAAAGATTCATTTCAGACTCTCATTACGGTGTGAATCCCGCTCGCCGAATTACAATGATGCAAGTTGCACTAGGTGTGGGGTTCGTTTTCATAAAACTGTAAATTAAACCTTGATACCATTTTGTTTTAATGTATCAAAACGATAAAACAACATGTTTATTTTATTGACGATGCCTACAAGCTTTTATATGTTTACATCCCAACGCAATGGTTAGGAGCAATCTTAAAGTGTCATTCTATATTCACTGTTGATGGTATCGGTGGCTTAAATTTAAGAGACGGTTTGAAGCGTACGTTATCTTCAGAACTAGTGACGTCCTTTACGTTTCATGCCAAATAAAATGTAAAAAGGCATGTAAATTAAATATGCCATTTCCGGTTTCTTGTCAAAAGCGGGAGTTCACACTTTTCGCCCCCAGTCATTCATCTTTCATTTCGATCAAGATTGTCGTATCAGCGAAGCGGTCTCTTCCGGTTGCTCATTGATTGCGTGTACATTTCAACCGTTTTGACACTTATTTCACTATTGACTTATAAGACATGATGTCACATCTCTCGACATAAAGAACGTTGCCGTATCGACTCCTCATGTGCACATGTACGGTCAATGCCTTTGACTCCCGCTAAACGCTCTGGTCAACAGATGCTGTATTGCGAGACGTGAATGAAAGCAGCACCAGTCGATGGACATCGATGCATTGGTTGATTACAGCTCACAGTTGTACATTACACTTCATCTACATTACCAATACAGTCACACACAACTCGTAGATTTCACGATAATCCAGATTTGCAATAATTGCCGTGCACACTGAGAGGGACACCAGAAATGGGCTTCACACATTGTACCTATGTGGGGAATCGTACCCGGGTCTTCGGAGTGACGAGCAAACGCTTTTGTCTCTAGACTACAACCCCACCATCCCACGAGACCAAGAGTGAGTGAGTTTAGATTTACACCGCACTCCGCAATATTCCAGCTATATGGCGGCGGTCTGTAAATAATCGAGTCTGGACCAGACAATCCAGTGATCAACAGCATGAGCATCGATCAGCGCAACTGGGGACCGATGACATGTGTCAACCAAGTCAGCGAGCCTGACCACCCGATTCCGTTAGTCGCCTCTTACGACATCAATATTCTAACCCGGACCTTCAGGGGTACACGAGACCAAGAAGAGTGAGTGAGTATGGTTTTACGCCGTTTTTAGCAATATTCCAGCAATATCACGGCGGGGGACACAAATGGGCTTCACACATTGCGCCCATATGGGGAATCGAACTGGGGTCTTCGGCGTGACGAGCGAATGCTTTAACCACTAGGCTACCCCACCGCCCGTGACCAACAAGTAGTAGTAGTAGTAGTAGTAGTAGTAGTAGCAGCGCTATTTACATTTGTAAATGTAACTGTACTGGTGGTAGTTGTAACAGGAGTACTAAAATGCTGATATGAGAGTTGCCAGAATGTTAATACTGATTAAAAAGGCAACAAAAACCCACACATAATAAGATATGAAAGGTACAGAAACTATCAACATCAAAGACTATCAGTAGTGACATCACGCTATAACGCGTCCGACTTTTCAATTCACGGCTTTATTGACAATGAACTCTTTTGTCGTGAACGGCGTCAACAACATCGTCTACGACACACAGCTACAGCTTCATGTTCCAACATCCAAGCACAAAGCGGTGCAAGACGACAGGCCATGATTACATAATTGAGTTAGTCCGA